ATTGTTGGAGCTAATACTTCCTTAATTGATTTACCAACGAGCTAACGACCAAAGGAAGTCTCAGAGACAAGCATCTTATTTGAGGAGACGTTCACCTCAAGGTCTAGCAGGAGGACACGTCCTAATCGACTCCTTCTCCCTCACATTGTCTCCCCCTCTTGCTTTTTTCCAACTACCTTTTCTCTTCTGACACTTCTGCCTGTTAGGCTTCACTTTGTAAATCGAGGACGGCTCAATACAGATCCAACAGGGGAACAATCACTGGCCCAACAATTTGAAATTATCCCTCTCCCCTCTCACTCTGCCTTGTTGTCTCATGCCGCCGCTGGAGAGGTGAATTGGTATGGATCCAGAGAGCGAGCGGAGAGAAAGAGAATCCATGTTCCTGCAACTTTAACTCATTCTCTCGCCCTCCATCCATTTGTGTGCCACAAACACAAATAGAGATAAAGCTACACAACATGTTCACCCCCTTTTCTTCTTCTGGGATATCAAGGTCAACACATCAATGATAAAACTACATTTAATTAGAAAACACTACACATAAGCTAGTTTAAAATCTTTAAAACGGTGAACAGCATCATTCTCTCTCCTCTAATACAGCAGAGGTTCTGGCCTCGGAAACACAAGATATTTGATCTACATTTTGATAACTGAAAGATGGCACATAGGTGCCAATAATCTACAAGCTGTTTGATGACACAGCCTAAATTTCCCAGTCCACCTAGGTTCACTTTTACAGTTCACTATAAATCAGCATGTCAAAGCTCTGTAGTGAAAAATGAAAATTATGAGGGTATTAAAGACCCTTTTTTTTTCTGCTGCAAAATGTTGCCCCTCAGCGTGATTTATCATATGTGTTTTATCACTGTGCAAACAAAAGAGCTCAGCAAATAAACATTATATTTTACAGGCAACCATATTGAACTAGAAAAAGAAGACACTGCACAGAAATCAAAGGCAGGCGGGTTGTTCTCTATGGGAAACGTCCCAGGAGGCAACATCTTCGTGACTTCAAAAATCACTGGTGGGGTGAAGTGACGGGTACAGATATTACACTTCTCCCACACACTTCCTTTCTTTCTTCTTTATTGCATGTGGAGTGATGCTTGTTATTCACAGCCGAGTTATTTCAAGGCTTTTATTCCACAAACATCTGGCTTTCTGTCTGTATGTGGCTCACATATCTCATAAGCTGTTCATCTAATCAGCTTCACTTTATATGTGTATTGTTAATGGACCAGGGAAGTTTTTTGTCAAATCTGGTGTGGCTTTCAATATTTATGGAACCAAATCATTTTGATTATTTTGTTTTATTTATTTTACTGGAGACAAAGGTGCTGATCTCCATTATGGCAGTAACTTATCCTCTTCATAGAATCAGCAATTTTAATATCATGCATATAAACCAGGTGGGATGAACCAAAGTTGTTTTACTTCACTCTGCACCATAAACTTTATATAATACTCTGCACACAAACAATAAAAAGCGATGGTGTATTGTAGAACCGTTAATAATAGAAGAATTCTGAAGTAGCTGTGGAACATTAACACAGGACAGCCGATTCCAAACAGGAAGGTTTCGGAGGTATATAGGAAAATAATATTTGTCAATGTAATGCAGACAGATAGTATCAAAGTAAAATGGCTGCATATGCTTTACATTGCAATTCAGATTATTACTGTAGATCATTTTTTGTTCTAAGGAAGATGCATCCTCAATAACTCAATTATCTTATCTGGTATTTCATGTTCTGTCAAAATAGTGCTGGGAACTGTTGCAGCACATTTTCTGTTGGGGCAAATTTTAGCAAGCACGAAGGGATTCAGTGATTCATTCGGGTAAATGGTTTCTGACCTTGTGCTTATGGGTTCATTTCTCTACCCTGTAGCTGAGCAATAACAGAGAAACACACCTGAGCACAGACCTCCTGCTGCAGTATTAGAGAGGAATCAGTCCCTGTCTGTGAATTGCTTTTTGACACCTTGCGAACGCAGAGAAAGAGACTGCACAAAGAACAACATTATTTTGCACACATTCCCTCACAGACTCATTCACGCAATTCTAGTCTCACCTCTGAAAATGAAATCAGACAAGCATTTCTGTAATCCCCACAAAATGACTCCCTTTGTGTATTTCTTGCTTTCATACGCTCTAAAGCAACAGGTATTATATATTCCACACAATACCTGACAGAGGAAAACACAGGAAATGAAAAAGCAGACCGACTAGCAGGTATAAGCACATCATGGGGAAAAGGGGATTAATAAGAGGATATTAACATGAGGTGTCTTATTATTTAGGAGGAAACGAGTAAATGTTTTTATCCACTTGTCAGCAAATATAAACAGATGAGCTGTTGGGGGGGGGGCAGTGATCTTCAGTTCATTTTAAAGGTGAAATGCGACATGAGGTTTATTGTTTTTGATGAGGATTAGACAAATTAGAAGAGGAGTCAGGATTAGTATTGTTTGAATAGGAGCTGGAAGTGTCAAGTCAGGGTGGATAAACAAACACAGGATTATTGGACAGTGCCTGACAAATGTGTTGACTCGAATATGTTCTCTTCTGCAATAATGGGGCAGGAAATACCCAGAATGCTGACTAGCGTGAGTGTTTTATTATATATCATTATCAAGTAAAAAGCATTCGATTCAACCTCATAGGCCGGACTTGATGCCTAATCCCCATTGAAATGAGTTAAAGACATGTGATATGGTTTGAAAAATGTTTTGCGGAATTATTCCAAAGGTGAAATGCATTAGGGGAAATGTAGTTGGCTTGTTAGCGCTCTTCACCTGCAAAAAAGACTAACTGATGATCTAAATGTTTAATTGACAAAAACGGCAATAAAAATGAAGATGATTCAGACCCAGAGGACGTTCCTGCTAAATAATATATAATATGATACCAAGGCTCCTTCTGTGAGAGACATGTTTGAGGAGGAGGACGAAGAGGAGGACGAAGAGGAGGACGAAGGCTCGAGGATCGAGGTGACTTTGCAGGATTTGTTGGGGTTTTTTAGAAAATGACAATGATTTTTAATGAAAGCCAAATGTTTAAGCCTTTAATTATATCTTTCTGCCTCAGAGGCTGAAAAATCCCTCAGCTTTTCAGCAGGTTGTTTTCAAACAACACTTATGTTTTAGAATATGTTTTTATTCAGCGCATTAAGTCTTAAAGGGGTAAGGAATTGTTTAATTTGTGTATGCGTATAAAAGTGCAGAAAGGCAGAATTACCCTATAAAAGAATCTACAAATCTTACTCTGGTGTTGTTTTCCTTGAGTTCAGTATTAAAACATTTTAAATACAAAAAGATTCATTGCAAAAAGAAATATTTTGCATTTCTATGTTGAAAAGCAGCACTTTCATACATCGAGTTTACTTGAACCACAGGTGAAAGAAAAACAGCTACAGAGTGAAATCAATACATTGACGTTAAGTCCAGTATCTTACCATTGAAGTTCACAGCACGGATGTGGCTGAGCAGCTCTTTGCCGTCGATGTTGTTGGCCATGCGCGGGCAGAGGCCTGGGTAGCCGTAGCAGAGTTCCCGGTGCATGCGGTGCAAAGCGTGGGCCATGGCGTACACGGCGTCCATCACAAACTGAACCTTCCCCTCTTGCTCGTAGCTGGAATCCCGACCCACTTTTTCTAAACCTGAAAGAGGGAAGAAGAAGTAGTTAGACAGGAAGATAGTAGAAAATAAATACAGAGGGCATTCATGCAGTTAAAGCCATTTTGAATAAGTCGGCATCAATTTTGGAAACTCGATCCAGCCATGTTGTAGTACTGTGTGACAAATGCTTCATAAAGAAAGCAATAGCTATAGCAAAAAAAGATAGAAACGTAATATAGAGAGGACGTGAGAAACAATACAAGTCACGACCCGTGAAAGTGGAGGAAAGTAAGAGTTTAACTCAGGGAAAAGTGAAAAAAGGGATGAAAGTCAACAAACGAGTAACAAATAAAAAAGAAGAATTGGGGTCGAGCGAATAAAAACTTCAAGGGGGTATGAAGAGAGAGAAGAAAAGACACGGAGGAAGAACTAAGTGCGAGACAGGATGACCATGGTGACAGGTAGCCTGACAATGACAAATAACTCCGCTCAATCCCTTCTCACCCTGGTAGCAAAGTTAGCGGGGAAAGAACAACATGTTCCTCCTTTACATCTTCTGAGGCACTGATAATGGTGTTTCCTTGTATGAGGGGAAGGTAAGAAATCATTCAGAGCCGACAAAAGAGACTTTGTCCTCATTTTAACTTGTGTCAAAGTCTGTGTAGAGGACAATTTGTCTTGCAAAATGTTTGGATGCAAAAAAATGTTGAAGTTTAAATAGTGGCCTTTGGCGAACATATATAGTACTCATGCATATATACGCACACACATTGAGAGGGCCACTTACACATGCGTGACACACACACGTACGTAAGCACACAAATAACCTCCAAAATGTAATTTACTGAGAGAGTTTTGTGCAATGGCTCATTAGCATAATGAGCTAATCATAAAAGAACAAAAAAATAAAACCTCCTTGATGCATTAAGTGGGAAATCAGCAATTGATGATGACATTCGTTTTCTCTGTTTCTCATCAAAAAGCTCAAGGAGTGGAACCACATTAGAAATCCTAACATCACACATTCATTGTCTCTCCTTCGTCTCCCTATAATTCTTTCACTTGTCTCCATCCCTTTGTAATGCTTTCCGTCTAATGGTGCCATTCTTATCTTTTATGTTTCCTCCCATTTCTTCTCAACCCTGCTTGTTCCCTGCCCCCTCCCCTCACTTTTTCATATTCCCTCTTTCCCTCCTCTCTTTCGTCTCGTTCCCCATCTCTGTGCTGCCGCTCCCTTGGCTTTATTCACCCTTTTCTTACGAGCAGCAGTCACCTTCAGGCAACACAAATGGAATCAAAATCCATCTGGGGTTGAATTAACAAGACCAGAGCGCAGCCCCCTCAATCAATATCAGCATCTATGAGGAATTAATGGGGTCCTGAGAATGAAACCCGATCCACAGTTATAGACGGCTCTCAGGTGCTTTGTATGTGTGTCTGTTGTGGTGATGGGGGGGGGGAGAGAGAGAGAGAGAGAGAGAGAGAGAGAGAGAGAGGAGGGGAGTGGAGGGGGGGCAGTAGGAGGTGAGTCAGCATAGTCTCTGAGCCATGTGGTCCAACCAAGCAGTTGATCACGATGTCGGACTCATAACAGAACTCATCTCCACTGAATCCCTTGATAACAGAGCTGTGGCTGCTCTCCATGTGTGTGTGTAAGTTTAGGCAGACGCACGTTTAGTGTGTGTGTGTGTGTGTGTGTGTGTGTGTGTGTGTGTGTGTGTCAGAGAGAGAAAGAGGAGTACACAACAAGAGGAAATTAAACTCTCTCTCAACAGTGAACTACTGCTACGACTGTTACAGAGGTGGATCTAGGATTTTTGTAAATAAATCTGGGGCCATAAAGGGACCACACTTTACACAGAGGGGTCAATTATATGTCTGGAATTCATGCACAATTCCTGATTCAGTAAGAAGCACATTTAAGTCATTCCTTGTTTACTGTTAGCTCTATAGCTGTGATTCAAAGCCACGCATCATTAGATATATTTGGAAAATTGCTCCTTGTTCCAGCACATTGTGTAAACAAATGATCGTATTTGTTGTTAGTATTATAAGTGACTATATCAATTAAATTAAATTAAACAGGACAGGGGCACTTCAGGAGCCAATCAGATTTCAGCTTGGGCCAGTGCCCCCCTGGTCTTGCCTCTGGATCCACCCCTGATCTGTTTCTGCTTTTAAAACATCTTAGTTAGCTTATTATTTCAGTATTATTCAGCCATACACTCTCTCTCTCAGGTATGATGGAATATCTGCTTTACTTTTTCTCCAGGGCTTCATCTGCTGCAGCACCATGTTCCTCTGTCCTGTTTGAACACACTCTTCTATGATAACCAGTAAAAGCCACTGCACTAGAGGGCAGCTCCTCCACGTCCCATCTGAAGATATTAATCTGTGTCTTTTCTTTCTGTACCTGCAAATTAATGACTGTAACTTCAATAGCTGGCTGCACTGAGGCGATACAGTATTGATTTAATGACCACAGGCTGGGTGGTGATCCAGGAGGCTACAGTGTGAGAAAAATGTACATGTGAAATACTACCAGTATGTTGCGGCAACAGACCGAGACTGAGGGTCAAAAAAAAAAAATCTACCAAGTGTTTTCTTAGCAACAGGCAACAACAACATGTTGGTTAATGTATCACCTTCAATTTATAGATGAAATAAAAAACAAGTGCACAAAGAACTGTCGTATATCTACCCATAGATACGTTCAACCTTTGGGCGACAACCTGCTCAATATTTGGAATTTCACACGCTCTCCCCTCAATAGTCGCTGAAAAAGGAGAGCAATTTCCTCATAAGCTTATAAAATACTCGCTATACACCCAGTTTGCTAACTTCAAAGCCAAATCGAATTATTATTTTATATATCTATTATAAAGACTTTATGGAGGTTGACGCTGGGATTTGTTCCAGCACTTTAATGTGGAGCAGCAATTAAAACAGTACAAATCTACCATTTAAGATATAGACTGAAATAACTGAGGTGTGCTTAATGTGGATTACAGAATTTAAACTTAAACTTCTCTCTCTATCAGTGTGTGTATATTGCAGCAATAACTTAGTCTTCAGAAAAAAGAAGAACAGAACTGAGACACACAAGCCTATTATTTAAAAACTCTGGAACTCTGCATTGCCTGATTTAGTGCTGCATTGCTGTTAGAGCATAAGAGTAGAGTGCGGCCTGTAGCTACGGCCGTATTCACTAGAACTACTTAAACGATAGCATAGCATATTTCTATTGCACTGCATCACAGTAGCACAGTGAAAAATATGCATTTAAGTACCAGGGAATTGGTCATTTATGTCACGTAAAGCAGAGAGGGAGACATATTAGCATGTGAGGACAGAGCATTCTGTATAGAGATACAGTCACACTCATCAACAAAAGGCCCTTGAGCTGACTGCCTAATGTCCCGACATAATCACACACATAATTATGCTGATAGTCCATAAATAAAGTGAAACAGGACACTAATGACTGAATGCTTCCACAGCGAGGTACCTTTACACAACACAGGGGTGGCATTAATGTGTCGTTCCTCCCTAAATAAATCTTTCTTAGCATGAAAAATGTGCATGAATGTGGCTTTAACAGTGGCTAATTATCATTATTATAGTTGTGCAGGAGTTCAAACCTTTGTGAAATGTTCATAGCTGTAAAAATGCATAGTCGCAGAGAAATAATTAAAAAAATACTCGTAGAAATGTCACATTATTTCTGCAGGAAATGTTCCTGTATTCCAGGAAGTATTCCATCCATATGTAGACTTGTATCTTATGCTTTTAACTGTGGTAAGTTGTTTCACACAAGTATATTTGCAAATACTTACTGCAAGAAAATACTATTAGAAGAAACTGTTATAGAGATAGTTTAGCCTTTTCAACACCCTGACAAAGTATTCATGTTCAAATAAGATAGAAAATATTGCTTTACAAAGTGAAATAGTAACATATTTATTCATATATATGATTCATATGTTTGACACACAAAGCACACACAGGAAAGTCAAGAGCAATAAGCTATAACCTTGCTATTACATTTACAAACTTACAAATTTACCTTTAATTCAACTTGGATGTTCAGTTAAGACAAATGCAACCTTTAACTGAAACACAGAAATACTCTTTTAGTGAGAAGTAAACTGAAGAGAGAGAACACGATGTGTTCCAGACGACAAGAATATCAACATAAAAATATCAATAAAATAATTTGCCTTGACCTTTAAAAACTAAAAGGCAAATACCACATCGCTGATCGAAGTCATAATTTGAAATCAGATTTGTGTTAACAAAGCCGAAGTGCATAATGTGTGATTATCACTAACTGTAGGTGCACACTTGCATTCAGCACGTGTGTATGTTCAAAGGGGACAACAAAGCTCAGCACTTTGTGCCATAGTTCAACGTGTCACGAGATAATGACCATTTCTCCTCTGCTGTTCAAACAAGAAGTGAAACGACACGATGCATCATTAATCAGCACACATCGCAAGCAAATGCAATCCTGCCTTGAGACAGTTAAACGGCTGCCGCTGTTATGAGCGCTGCAAACTGGGAAAACACTCTGTCTGTTTCCTGGGATTGCGTCAGGTGTTGTAACCGGAGCGCGAGTGTTTCTGTCTGAGTGTGTGAGTACATTACAATAAAGCTTTTATTAGATGTGTCTGTCCATTGTCTGCAGCCACGAACAGCTCGTCACGTCGGTGAAGCGGCCACAAATCCATCCGCTTCATCTTTGCACAGTAATTTGTGAAGGTGCAAAAGAAAAAGACACACATCTAACGGAGTATTTTAATGGCTAAAAATAATCTTCATTATTTATCACAAAGCTTCTGTGTGTGTCTGAGAGTGGAAGCAGTAAAAAGGGGTAAAGTTTAGGCTGGAGAGACAGAGATGGATGGATGAAATGTTTGTGTATTAATATGAACCCTGTCTGTCTTACACATTACACTCTAATTTATTTTCCAGCCAGCAGCTCTTAAATTAAATCCTGCTTCTCTAATGATGCTGAAGTCTACAGGCAGCTCCCTTAGTT